ATGGAGCCCAGGGTCAGCAGGAAGTCCCCAGATGACCCCAGGCTCCGTGTGGTACTTTCACCTTTGAAGTGTAGCAACAGCCCTAGGGTTGTTTTTACACTTCAAAGGCGGAAACGCCCTATCAGCTAGTCGAATAGTCGATGCAAAATGCATTGACTATTCAGTTAGTCAGTTACCTGGAATTTAACATCCTTGGTACTCAGGTGGAGGAAGCCTCTCTTCTTTATCTTTCCCACAGGATGGGTAGCTTCTTTTCTTTCTTTTCTTTCCCCACCACATGAATCATTAGTAGCAGAACAAAGGAATATGAACATACATCAGTCACAAATACAGGAAAGATTGCAAATCTTTTTACATACAGATATATTTGTATTCCACATATGGCAGGTCATCTGTACGGAGAGTTTCTACCATGCAGCTCTTGTCTTCTTTTAAGAAAAAGCAAGCTGTAAAATGTGCAGCTATGCAGCACTATATGCACTAGTTTTGGCAATATGTTGCTGTAAAATCAACTATAACGTTCATTTGCGTCGGAGTCCTCTGTTGAAATATAGTATGAAGTCAGCAGCTATAGGGGGAAGCTTATGAAATGCCACTTTTCAGGAGAATTAACAGGCCAATGGAAAGGACACTTGTGAATTCTTCAATAGAAACAAAGGATTTGATGAACCAGAGTGGATGAGTGTCTTGCCTCCAGCAGTAGCCAATACCTTGTGTTCCAGAGGAAAGCGATATTTGCCTCACCCATATCATCATCATGTAATGTACCAGGCCGAGTGTGCAGTGCTGTAATTGGGGGATGGGATGGTTCTTTCCTGACCCCCCGCATAATTGGTTTCTGCCTGAAGCATGAGATTATTTATTCCATCTTGCTTCAAGTAGGTTAGTGAGTGTTTTGCCGATGCCTGCAGTGATGGAAGGAGAACTTTTAAAACTAACTATTTTATGCTTCTTTCCATAAAAAGTAACATACCCTCTTCCTCTTTTTTTCTCAGGTTGATCCTACACCATTAACATGGGAGAAACGCATCATGATTTCTATAGGACTTATCCGAGCCATTCAGTATCTCCATAACTTTGGGATTCTGCATGGGAATGTCAAGAGGTAGGGTTGTTGGCTTATTAACATATCTGCAACTCTGTCATTCAACTGTTGTTTTCAGAATTAAAAAAAAACAGAAATGGCTGAAGTCTTCCAGTCTACATATGATCTTGGAATTATTCCCCGAATATATTTGCTTTCTCTTATCTCTTGCTCTTTTGAATATTTTCCCTCCAAATTTCATTTACCTCTCTTTTTATTGTGGCAAAAGTATATTCTTAAGGGCTTTTTTCCAAGCACATTCCTTTCCACTTTCCCCTATATGTAAAATTTCAAATATTTCCCATACCATTCCAGTACTAGAAAGTTGTGTATTCCCTGAAAAAGTCTTAGGTCTGTTCTGTACATGAAAGTTGTACCATCTCATCTATGCCTATAGAATTAACCTGGTACCACAGTCCACCCTTTTATCATGCATGCAGTTATATTGCTATAAAGGTAAGAATGACAGAGCCATTCTTATATGGGAAGGTGAATAAGTTGTATGCACTTTTTAAATGATGTAACTGCGAACACAGAAGGGTTATACTGATTTGGCTATTTTGATTTTAAAACAATCTTACCCTATCTGACATACTTAAATTAGTATTAAATTTGTTCACAGACTCAGCTTTGCTCTTATGCAAGATAATTTTTAGAGCTTTGCCTTAAAATACACATTTCTGTTAGTTCTTTTTTTAGCCTGTGTGTTTCCAAATTGATCTGAGTGTAGGAATGCAAGTTCAAGGACGGTTTATTTTTCTTCAAACAAACATAAGCTCCTAATTGTGCTCAACAATCTATTTAATTCCACTTTCCAATGTCCTGGTGAAAAAAGACCTACGATGTGACTTGATTGGACTATCAATATCTATATAGAAGATAGAAATTTGATAGTGGGCTCTTCAATCTAGCAGACAAAAATACGAGATTTGGTGGCTGGAAGGTAAAACTAGACAACTTCAGGCTGAAATAGAGTGTATATTTTTAACAGTGATGGTAATTAACTGGAAAAGTTTATGAAGGGTAGTGTTGAATCTCATCAGTGGCAATTTTTAAATTAAGTTGGGGCGCATTTTAAAAGATATGTTTCAGTACAAACAGCAATTAATTCAGGGAAGTTAATCAGCCTGTGTTATCCAGGAGGTCAGGTTCGATCAAAATGGTCCCTTCTGGCCTTGAAATCTATTTATCTAATAGGCCAAAATGCCTATTTGCTTGTGCCCTACACCATGAATCCTTTCTTGGTATCACCTGTAACTAATATATACTTTTTCTGTAATAATCAGAAAAATGCATTTCCAGTTTTGTCAGGCAATGCTTTTTGTAACCCCACGCAGCTGGAAAGCAGAGTGCTTCTGTTCTGTGTGAGGATAGAAAGGTTTTAAATTACAGAAATGCTGGTCTTTTTGTTTTATATCATGGGGCCATTTTCTGAGTTCCTAATTCAGAGTACGTCTACACTAGCTCGTTAGTTCGAACTAGGTAGGGTAATGAGGGCAAGCGGAGTTGCTAATGAAGCCCGGGATTTAAATATCCCGGGCTTCATTTGCATGTTCCCGGGCGCCGCCATTTTTAAATCCCCCTTAGTCCGAACTCCGTGCCCGCGGCTACCCGCAGCACATTAAAGATCCTAATTCGAACTACCGTTACTCCTCGTGGAATTCCACCGCAGGCACCGTGTAGCCACGGGCACGGAGTTCGGACTAAGGGGGATTTAAAAATGGCGGCGCCCGGGAACATGCAAATGAAGCCCGGGATATTTAAATCCCGGGCTTCATTAGCAACTCCGCTTGCCCTCATTACCCTACCTAGCTCGAACTAACGAGCTAGTGTAGATGTACCCTCATCTATGAGGAGGCAAGACTCATTCTGAGGGCCTTTCGAGTCCATTATGGTAGCAGACTCTGGACTGAGTAAAGACTAAGTAAATGCTGAGAAAGGAATTCAGGATTTTCCTGACCTATTGTGAGCTTTCCAGAGAATGGGAAAAAAACAATATCAGATCTCTTCAACAGAGGAGTTCCTTATAGTCTGTAAAGCTGTTTAACTCAAAATCAAATGGGTCAAATTAATCCCTGATGATCCATTGTTTTCAGTGGACTTAGACCAGGAATAAACCTGTCCCTATATATTTTGCAAATTAACAATACAATGTATACAAGACAATAAAGAATTGGATTAGATAGGAGGAAACATTGGTTTTGTCTTAACTTTCCTAAAAAAAATCCTTCTGGTCTATGGTAGTAATACTGAAGCTTGATTTATATCTCAGTTCACTATGGCTTTCAACATACAAGACAGGAACCAAAAGAAGAATTTGTATAAAGAAGCTATTAAAAGTACCCTTTAAAATCACATATTGCCATAAGAGTCTGCATTGAAGTGTGAGTGGATTGACCACTGTTGGTATTTGCTTTATGCAGCTCCAATGTTCTGCTGGATGAAAACTTCACACCAAAACTTGGACATTCAGGTCTCCGACTGTATTCCATGGAAAAAAAATCAGATTATGCTGTGATGAAAACCAAAATTTTACAAGCTTCCCTCACTTACCTGCCAGAAGATTTGGTCAGGCATGGACACCTAACACAAAAAATTGACATCTTTGGTTGTGGAATAGTAAGTTGTCTTGTTTTTCAAAAATAAATCACTTAGATCAGCTGGATATTTAATATCCATTAAAAAATAACCAATGCAAGAAAGTAAGATTCTGTTCTGAAATATATACATGAGTCTAATTTGGATCATATAATTCAATGCAATTGCTATTAGGGAAAAATGTGGTAGCAGTCTACAAGATCTTTTCTGCAGAGTAGTCTTTATAACTAGGAGCAAATTAAAGTTAATATCAGAAAAAAACTTCTCAACTTGTGGTGAACCCAAGTCTTATGATTGTGGGTTTGAATCCAGTGTTCCCTCGAAGATTTTTCCATTCATGAGTGGAGTGAGCTTTGTCTTGTGCACCAATATTGACGTCATGTGCGCTTGTTCGGATGTGTGCCACCATGGCACCCACCAGTTACTAACAAATATATAAAATTGTTATAGAAGAAAAAAATACTAAAACAAGGGAAAATTAACAAGGTCCATGACCCTGCACCCACCCACCCTGAAAACCACTCAGCCCTGCTCCCACCATTCTTTCATCCATGAGCTACCCAACCCCTACATTTCAATCCAGTGCCCCCTTTACCACTAACCCTGCATTGTGCCCCCATTACCCCTAACTTCTGCGCAGTGCCCCTTTCATCCCAACCCCTGCACTTTCCTCCCAGCTGTGCCCCCAGTCCCCACCCTGCACTTCCAGCATGTCCTGCCACACTGCACAGTATCCTCCACCCCCTTTGCCCAGCAGCACCTATGCCTAGCTGCCCCTCACCCTCTGGCTATAGCACCCTGGGCATGGGCCCAGTTTGCCCAGCCCTAGGGCAGGCCCTGCAGCAGGGCAGCCTCCAGCCACACAGTCTTACCAGGTGGTGGCTGCCAGAGCTGGACCTGGGGCTGCAGTGAGGCTGCCTTATTAAGGACAGCCTCACCGTAGCCCTGGCTCCAGCTGTGATACATGGAACAGTCATGCAGCAAATGGCCCTGCCCTGGGAACAGCTGGGGCTGGGGCTATGTGGCAGCTGCTTGGGCCAGGGCCGTGGTACTAAAAATAGCATCGCAGCCAGGCTCCAGCTGCAGCATATGGGGCAGCTGCCCGCCGCACAACCCTGCCCTAGGAGCAGCTGGAGTCAGGGTCATGTGGCAGCTGCTGGGGTTGGGTCTGTGTGGTACTAAAAACAGCACCACGGCTCAGTTCCAGTGCTGGCACATGGGGCGGGAGTGTATGGCAGGTGGCTCCCCCATGTGCTAGGATTGGAGCCAGGCTGCAGTGTAGCTGCTCCTGGGCCAGGGCTGTGGTGCTATTTTTAGTACCTCAACCCAGGAGCAGCTACACTGCGGCCCCGACTCCAGTCCCAGGACACAGGGCAGCCATCTGCCATGTGGCCCAGCCCAGGGAGCAGCTGGGGCTGAGGCTGTGTGATGGCTGCTGGTGCCGAGAGTCCAATACTAAAAATAGCAACATGGCCCTGGCCCAAGGACAGCTGCATCGTGGCCCTGGCTCCAGTCCCGGCACACAGGGCCATGGGCAGTTGGTGAAGGCATGGCTGGGGGAGGCACACCTCCAGTCCCACCATCAGCCTCGCCTCCTCTTCTAAGGCCCTGCCCCTTCCCGTCCCCATGGGGAGATGGGGCAGCATGCCATGCATGTGCTCCTGCTCCCAAATATGGGGAGAGGAGAGCAGGTGGGTGTGCACTTGCCCCAGCCTCCTCTCCCTCTCCAGCCCCAGAGGAGGGCACACCGCACAACATGGTGCAGGCCAGCCTCGGAGCACCGGGGGAGGAAGAAGGGCACTCCATGTGGCATGGCCTCTCCAGCCCTGGGGAGGGAGGAGGGCAGAGAGTGTGTGGCATGGCCCCAGCTCCCTCAGCACCAGAGGAGGACACACCAAATGGCCTGGCCCAGTCCTGCCTTTCCAGCTCCGGAGCACAGGGAGGACGGGCATTGGGGGCAGCAACATGCCACCTCCAAACGCTTACAGCAGGCGTTCTGGGGACGGAGTGTGGTCGGGGCTGTGCTTGGCAGTCTGGGAAAGCAAAGCCTTTCCCTGCCTTACATACCAGATGCTCATGCATGGGGCAGCCCCGCAGCCCCACCCTGTGCACCGGGACTGGAGTGGGGACTACAGTGCTATTTTTAGTACCGCAGCCGTGGCTCCACACAGTCTTTGCCTCAGCTGCACCCGGGGATGGGCCGCGTGGCAGGCAGCTGCCCCATGTGCTGGGTCTGGAGCTGGGGCCATGTTGCAACTGCTCCTGGCTGGGGCCACGGTGCTTTTGTTTAGTACTGTGGCCCCAACCCCAGAAGCAGCCACATCATGGGCTTGGCTCCGACAACCACCACACAGCCCTCCTTGGCCACAGCTGAAGCTAGGGCCAGGGCTGCGTGGTGGCTGCCCAGCTGCTCCTGGGGGGGGCAGTCACCTGCCACGCAGCTCCACCCCCAGGAGCAGGTGGGTTTGAATTCTTGGTGCGCACCCATGTAGGCACGCACCTTAAAGGGAACTATGTCGAATCCCTGATCTTCCTAAAGATGTTTTTGCTACTTTGTGTCCCAAGAAACCAACTGATATGCCTCATATCAGCTCATGTGAAAGGAGAGGAGGAAATTGTGTTGAAGTTATCTATGATTAATATAGGTTTAGGTAGTGCTTTGTATCTTGTTAGTGTGGAATAAAGTAAAAGGTTCAGAAATGGGGCTAGTCCCAGGGAGGTGCAAAAACAGGCAAACTATTACTGGATATCTTTTAAACTTTTATTAAAGGGCTTCTATGTATAAATTATTATTTTATCAATTTCTTACATACGTAGGCACCAAATAATTATTCGAATGACCAATAAGCAAAATGCAATACAGTAAAGAAAATTCCTTGAGGTTTTTCTAAATCCCAATAGTTGTTAACAAAGGACCAGGGATTATTAACAGTTACATTTTCATCAGTCTTATTTATAAGACTAATCATTTATCTAAAACTCTTAACACTACTACTTAACAATACCTCTAAACAATTTCAGATAACAATACTTACATTTAACAGACACACAAACAACAACAATAACAACATATTTGGTATACGTTATGTTTGGTATACGTTATGCTCTACAGGAACTCGTTTGGTTTGGTGAGCAGGAGGTGGCCCTCGGGTGATCAGTCCTCGGACCTGGCTCGTATTCTGCCTTCCAGTGTTTATTTGGGATTCCTCAATTTGATACAGGAGGGGAAGCTGTTTTATAGAGAAAGCTTTACCTGAACTTTTCATGTCTGGCTTCGGTTCCTGTTCTTCACTGATCTTTAAGTTACATAGTGTAAGGGTTTTCCATCAAGGGGAAGTTGACCTGTTGCTTGGATGGCAATACGCGCGAGAGGCCTAGCTAGCAAAGAGCCTGCTTTCACAGTTAGAGAATTGTCCACACGCATTCAAGGTCAAAATATGGCCTATCATCTCAAAAGTGTGGTTATGACCAGTTCAGTATCATGTAAGGTGCTTCTAGTCAGGAAAAATGGATATGTGATATCCAATATAGCGTGGGTTGGAGAGAGCTGGATTATACTTTTTGTGCACCACCTGTAAAATTATCACTATATTCTAGCTACAAAATCTTTTTATGTTATGGTGGAAGAATCAGAAAGACCACAGCATGGTTCTGTTTGTTTAATTTGCAGCATTGGACTTTAGAAAAATGATTTTTTGGTTTGGAAACTCAGCCAACACAAATAAAAATAAATGACAATCTACAAACATGGTATAGAGAGAATAAATGACAGCCTATATCATCATTTTCTAAAATTAAGATTGCACTTTAAATTTTCATCTATTCAGTGAACTCTGTAGAACACAATAACCTTCTACTATTCTTACAGTGTAATATATAAAGATAGGCCCAAGCTATAGAATTTGGATTCGAATCTGTACCTTGCTCTAAATTGTCTCAAAGGTTCAGATCTGGAGTATTGGTTTGTGCCCATCTTGCCTAAGAATGAAGGAAAATAGCTTAAAATGCTCCAACAGTTAAATATTATCTTTGTTACAAACACCAGTTTTTCGAATAGGTCATCTAAATAAATTATCTTGCCTATAAAAATGTTTTCTAGGTTTTAGCAGAGATGCTGACAGGCACTAAGGCAATGGATGAAGGAAGAACCCCTATCTATCTGGTAAGCGAAAGGCAAAATAAATGACATTGGCCCGGTGTCTTGCATACAGTGCTACAGTAATGAGATGAGTTTGACTGCAAAATCAATCAGAATTTGTTGCCTGCTGTACTCCTGGGGGAATTCTGCACCACTGCCGTGTTTCTCCTGGGGATGCAGAGCTTCTAGCTGCCACTGGGGCCCAGTGGACTCTGAAGAGCCCAGCTTGCAGTGAGCAAAGCTGTCACTCAGCCTTGCTGGGATGGAGGCTCTGTATGTCCTGCGTGCATGGCTTGATCTTATTCTCCCAGGGATGGGAAAGATCCCAGGAAACCTAGCTCTGGCAAAGGGTGAGAATGGGAAGTGTCACACCATGGCCTGTGATAGGGCAGTAAAGAAGATGAGGGGGAAAGGCTCTGGGGGTCAAGTATCTGGGTTGGGGGGCTCTCTCATGGTTAGGCTCTGTGGGGAGAGCCCCACAGCTGGGCTCTAGGGAGAAAGGGGTGTCAGTGTCTGAGCAGGGAGGTGCCCCACAACTGAGTTCTGGAGGGAGGGGAGTGGAAATATGAGTGTCTTGGCTCTGGGGTCCCCCTCCAGCATCCCTCAGATGAAACTGGGTTGTCATAAGGGTTTCTTAAATCTGTACCCCTCAGGAATCGTTGTTGTTGTTGTGTGTATTGAAGACATACTTATTGATAGGCATTTTGAAATAAATTACCAAAATAATTGAAACTGAATGACTATATTGTGTTATTTTGACAAAATATAGAGAATTTTTATTTTTTTTAGTGTAGAATTCCCCCAGTAGTAATACTGTCAGATGTATAACTCCTAAAGATCTGTTGTTTAGAGTCCAAAGTTTGGTTCCGTTTAAATCAGTGGCAAAACTCCAACTGACTTCAATGAGAGCAGAATGGATGCTCCAATTTTAATATTGCTGCTGATTGTGTATGAGTTGCTGAAGTGTCACTAGCGGCTAGGTACCCGTATACTTAAAGGCAGCAGTTGGTTTTGACATTGTGACTGTTCATATTCTTGAATCAGGAAGGTGTGCCCTAAATAGTGAAACGTAAGTAGAATGTGAATCATGATGGCTATATTTATGGTTAGGTATACTCACCAGTATTTTGTATATAGGCACATCACTCAACATGTACTTGAAGCAGTAAAAATTACTTTAAACAAATTCAAAATAAATTTGGGCCAGGTTCACCTATTTATAACAAAATGAATGTTCCCTTTTGTTGTGAATAAAAAACAGACCTTGCTTATTCCATTGCCCATGTAGGACTTTCCTTTTATGCTGTCATGCCCCTATAATCTTGAGTAAAGGGAAGGAAGTGAACCCTTGTCTTGTCATTCAGGATATGTCCACACTAAGCATGTTAAAGACTAGTCAACTAGTTGACTATCCGATAAGCATCTGGTTATCAGATAGTGTTTTGACTAGTTGATATTCTCATCCCCCTTGCTGCCTCTATGAGATATCTCATAGAGGCAGCAAGGGGGAGGGGGTACTTGAAACTCCAAGGCAGCCAATGCGCAGCCGATCCTGTGCGGCGGGCTGCCCCTTTAAAACACTTCCTCTGCACGATTCAAAGGGGCAGCCATGGAGCCCAGGGTCAGCTGGGAACTCCGGGCTGACCCCGGGCTCCCCACAGCATTTTCCCAGAACCCAGGATCAGCTAGGGACTCCCCAACTGACCCTTGGCTCCTAGCGGCATGGAGCCGGAGGTCAGCGGGGGACTGTGAGTCCTCCACTGACCCTGGGCTCCATGGCTTTGAAATGCACAAGAGCCCCTGCTGGGGACTATTGTGCATTTCAAAGCAGGCACGCTGCATGCAGCCCGGAGTCAGCTGGACTTCCCGCTGGCCCCGGGCTGTACATGGGAGTTCTGCATTCCTTCTTTGAAATGTACAAGAGCCCCAGCAGGGTCTCTTGTACATTTCAACGGAGGAATGCGGAAGTGCCTATCAACTAGTCGACAGAAATTCCAGAGACTAGTCAATTAACCGCATTTTAACATCCTTAGTCTACACTACTGAGTTTTTTCGGAAAAACAGCCATTTTTCTGAAAAAACTTCAATTACGTCCACACTGCAATCGTGTTCTTTCAAAAGAAAATCGAAAGAACAGAGGGGTTTTTCTGGCATTGGTAATCCTCTTTCTATGAGCAAGAAACCTTTTTCCAAAAGAGTTCTTTTAGAAAAAGGCATGTGTGGATGGGGAAGAGGGAGTTCTTTTGGAAGAAGAGGAAAGAGGAAAAAGCACAGGTGCCCTAGTGGCCGCTCTGTCCATAGTAATCACAGCTTAAATGCAAGATAGCATCCATTCAGTATGGACGCTATCTTTCAAAAAAGCAGAAAATGTTTTCAATGCGCTTTAGCAGTGTGGATACTGGAAGATCTCTTCTGGAAAGAAACCTGAAGTCTAGACATAGCCGCTGTCCTTGACAAATGCTTCAGCAACTTTCTAATGGATTCCAAAAGTGAAAAGATGACAAGTCTCAGTGATGACTTTATTAGCAGGGACAAGAAGATTTAATTCATAGATTTTTAGAAAAGTTAATTAACACACTAAGGCTGCTGTACACTGCTCTGATTTTTATCAGTGGCCTGATAATATTGAGAAGTCTACCTGGAACTACTGGAGCCTGGTGTAAAAAAACATTGCCTACATGCATACAGCCCTTATGAAGCACACAGTATCAAACTTTCCGCTTTTAAAACACAGATTTCTACCATTCGAGCTAAAGGGGAGTTTCTTTGGTTTTTTATCTTTTGTAAGCCAGCACTAAGGGGGCACTAGTAGTTGTACACAAGCCAGTACATTACACCGGGTATAGCAAGTAATCAGGGAGTGTCTTGAGTTCTTAAAGTGATGGATAGGAATGAATAATTTTTTAAAAATCATTTTCACTAGTGTATCTCTTCCTCTTGAACAGAAAGATGTAATTACTGATGAAATTCAAACAGCAAAAGAATGTTCATGCTCCAAGCACAAAACCTTTGAAAATCTTGCTGCCAAGGAAATATGCTGTAAATATCTAGACAGGAAAGTGGGACACTTTCCAGCAGAAATTGCTGTTCACTTTGCCACTGCCATCTGCATTTGTCTGCGGAAAAAGAATCCTGACATAACAGAGGTAAGTGTTGTATGCCCTACTACAGGCTGAATCTCTCTAATCCAGCACCCTCGGGACCTGACTGGTGCCAAATCAGAGAATTTGCCCAACCATGGAAGGTCAATTTGTCTAGCAGCATTACCAACACTTCCACTGCTTACTGGGCTCTTAGAAGACATTTAGGGTAAATAACAGCACAGAACACTAAAAGCCAGGACTGGTGGCTGTAAACAAACTGCATGGGACTATGGGAAACTTGGCCACACTCATGATAAGTAGTCATCCAATTAACTAAAATCATGCTGGACCATGGATGTTGCTGGACCAGAGAAGTTCAGCTTGTAGTTCTCTGTCTCTTAGGCTATGTCTACATAGCAGTGAAATAACACAGTGTGCGTCAACACTACAAGCCTTTATTTCTAAATAATATAGAGCTGGAGGACTTCTTATTCTGACTCATGGCAACCCTCATTTTACAAGGAGTAAGGCAAGTTGAAGGAAGAATGTTTTTCCTTCAACTTCCTGCTGTGTAGACAGCACCAAAAGCCAAATTAAGCTATTTCGACTTCAGTTATGCAATTGAAGTAGCTGAAGTTGCGTAGCTTAATTCGACTTTAGCCCTACTGTGTAGACATACCCTTAAATACCAAGGTCTAAGCCACAGCTTAGATATGATTTTTTTTAATAACCATCAAGGAGAAGGACATGGGCACTGATCAACTGCTTAACAGATGTTGTTTTCTTGAACAGGTGCACGAAATGATGGAAATGGCTGAGCGTAAAATAAGAGATCACAGCATTCTTGAAGGTAGCACTTTTTCTGGATTCTCCATTAACATTCCAGAAGAAACAGATGACGAGACTGCTAGTCATAATAGCAATGAGGACAGTTCAAAGGCAAGGTCCCTGAAGTGTTCAAATTCATCCCCACCTTTACTAAGAGACTTGCCACCTGAAACTTACAATGGACAAATGTCACGGGTCCCTTGTGAATCGGATGAATCAAGTAGCTTCGTATGGGATCCTGTGGAGAGTTCTGCATATGGTCCACCTAGCAGTGGCTGCACCAGTCCAAAAAATGCTACATCCTCTCATTCCAGGAGCAATGATGAAATATGTTCAAGTGGCTTCCAGAAAAGAAATATGGCATCCAATGAAAATAAAAACACTTTGGAAATGGTACCTCCTGCAGAAAGAATGGTTCCTTCAAACAATGCAAACCTGGACCTGTCATGTTCTTCAAAAGGTAAATCTAGGTGATTTTGGGGAATGAAGATCCGAATTAAGACCAATCAATATTTGATCATTAAATTACCATGACACAATGTCCCCAATAGGGATGTAATGGTATAGCCGTTTAAATCGTTAACCAATAAGCCTGGGCTTATCAGTTTGCGTTAGTGGTTACATGCAGGGGAGCCAGCTTGTGGTGTGGACTCTGTAGTATCAAATTTATGCTGCAGAGCCTACAGAGCAGCCAGCTCTGATCCCAGGGAGCTAGATGCACTGTGGGCTCTGCAGTATCACACTTATACCGCAGAGCCTGCAGTGTGTAACTGTTGAGACAATCAGCGGTACCACGGTTACCTAATTAACCATTTTTTAACATCCCTAGTCCCCAATTATTTTACCATTTCTGTAAGGTGCTCAGCTACTAAGGTGATAGGAAAAATATAAATGCCTAGACAGACCTGCAGTCTTTGAAAAACCTTCCTTTTACAAATTTTGACATATTTTGTCTCCTTGGTTTTTAAGTTGCCAGTTACTTTATAGAGGTAATTTAAATTATCTAGTTTTTCAATTTAATGTCCTGTTTAGAAGTCAAATTTAAGTGATTTAGAATTATTTCCCATCTCCCTAGTTATATGTAATATCAGCATTAGCCACAGGTGAACTTTTGCTAAATATCTGGGCCTTTCTTTCACTCCTCTTCCTCCCCCTCCCCCCCTTCAGGATTAGCCAAAGAAACCTCTTGGGAAATAAAGATCAATGATAAAAAAAAGAAGCTTATGGAAAATATTTTACTATATGAAGAAGATAAGTTAAACAGCTCTGAACTCTTTGAGTCTCAAATATGACTGAATTATCAGCAATGGCATCTTGGAAGAAGAAATTGGGAATCTTTTTCTGGTAGCAAGATGGTAAAAGCTAAGCCACATGCTTCATGTAAGGTTAAGTAGGATGTTTTTAACTGACAGGTTAAACCTCTTTGGAGGGGAAAAAAAAAGTCACATCTCAGATGATTCCAAGAGAATGTTCACTACAGTGTTAAGCAGAATGCAACTTTTATGATCTGAAAAATCAGCATTGTCCTCTTTCTCCTTGCCTTACTGTGCTGAAAAAAAAAATTGGCAAATTGACCGTTAGCTTAAGACCACCTGTTTTGCACTGGACTTCATAAAGCTTTTTTGTACAGTGTATTTATTTTATGAAAAATTAGAATCCTGCACACTATGCTGCAGGATATATACACACAGTCTCACATACTAGTTGGCTGTACTTGCTAATATCCATTGCATTTAGCATAGGTAGGGTGAACAATTGGAACTACTTTCCATTGTTTCAAAACAAAGTAGCTAGTTTTAGGAAAGTAAACGACTAGTCCACTATTCGATATGCTAGTTGACTAGTTGCCTCCCCTCCTCCCCCTTTGCTGCCTCTATCAGAAAGAGGCAACAAGTTGGGGGGTAGAAGAGGGGTGCTTCAAAGTGGCAGTGCGGTGTGGGTACCAGGGCCAGACCCCGGGTTCCATGTGGTGCTGCTGCTCTGAAATGCTGCGTGCTGCCTGGGGCTAGCTGGGATTCCCCAGCTGGCTCTGGGATGCACGCGGCATTTCAAAGCAGCAGTGTCATGTGGAGCCCGGGGTCAACTGGGGACTCCCCCACTGATCCCAGGCTCCATGTGGCACTGCTGCTTTGGAGCCTGACACCGGGCACCCTGCGGCATTTCAAAGTACTAATGCTGCTTGGAGCCCGGGGTCAGCTGGTAACTCAAGTGACCCAAGGCTCCATGAGGCACTGCCACTTTGAAATGCTGTCAGGTGCATGGAGCCAACGGAGGACTGCTTGAGTCCCCCCACTGACCTCATGCTTCCCACAGCACTTTTGCCTTTGAAGTGTAGATACAGCTCTGGGCTGTTGCTACACTTCAAAGGTGGAGGTACCCTTATCCACTAATCGAATAGTCAATGAAAATTGCATCGACTATTCAATTAGCCAATGAATCGAAATTTTACATCCCTACTTAGTTTCATATGCTCTTATTCCAAATTCTCAATTATACTCCATATCCTAGATGATGTGGTGTTTTTTTTGTTTAAGAGAAGTTATATGCTGTATTCCATGATTCCGTCTCCAGCTGCATTGCACTGTAAACAAATTCTGGAACTGTACAGATATGACTGTGTAGTATCTAACAGCCACACTGAGAGGTGGAGTACACTGACTCCCTCTGTAGCCTTGAGAGAGTCACTTAATTTCTCTGTGTCTGTTTTCTCATCTGCAAAGTAAGGCTAATACCTTACTTGCCTGTTTTGAGAGATAACTAACATTGTAAAATGCTATATTCATGTGGTTACTTGTTTCATACTGTAGCTTTTATTGTAAATGTGTATTTTGTATTTTGGTATAATTCAACGTTTTAATTTAAAACTTATTTAATTGTTCATGCAACACTTTAGTTTGTAAAGAGCTGCAGGCGATGATTAACAAAATCAGCTAAAGATTAATTAAACGTTTTATAGAAATTACCTTCTGGGATCATGGTAGGCAGCGCGGCTGCCATGGCCCACCCTCTGTTGGCCACCTTTGCCTGAGGCTGTTCTATCTGCTCAGCAAGGCCGGGGCCCCCATTCCCCCAGCCCTGCCTCACTGCCACCTGCCTGCCCATCCCGCCGCAACACAGCGCTCTCCCATTCCCCCTAACACGGTGGTTCTCAAACTTTTTGGCCTGTGACCCACCTGGCTCAAAGCAAACCTTACTACTAGTGTTGCCAGATGGTTTCAACAAAAATACCAACACACTTGACATTACATCACAATCTACATTACATTTTACAGTAAACTTCTGATAATCCGGCACCTTTAGGACCCAGGGGGTGCCGGATTATCAGATATGCCGGAGTACCGGAAGGGGGGCTATGAGCGGTCTGGGGTAGGGGTGGGAGTAGGGAGTCGGCGGGGAACTGCGCAATGTGGGAGAGGGTGGCGCTGCGGGACCACCCCGGCAGCACCCCAGCTGCTCTGCCCCCAGTTTCCCCAAGTCAGCCGCTGGTCAGTTTCAGCAGCCGGGGAAAGAGCAGCTCCAATTGTCCGGCTGGCCAGAGCACTTCCGGGTTCCAGTTGGTGCCGGAATATCAGGAGCACTGGACCACTGGATGCCGGACAATTGGAGTTTTACTGTACTTGAGAGAAATCTGGGGGAGTACGTCAACACAACTGAAATTTGGAGAAAACTGAATTTTTGTTTTAAGTTTTACAGCGCTTTATTATTTTTGTACTTTTTACACCCAAAAATTTAATCGCCCACCAGGCTATGATTAAGTTGTTTAAACAAATGTGTTGCAATGGAGGAAAAAAATTGTGTGTGTCTGAAAACTGTAGGCACCAAGGTTACTTATAATTTTTTTTAAAGGGGTACTTTATTAAAAAAGGTTGAGAAACACTGTCCTATACCATGGTGCTTCCCCAGCCCTCCCATGACAATTGAAATGAGCCTGGGAGCTCCAGGCCCCTTTGAATCTCCAGGCCCTGGGACAATTACTCCCTTTGCCTCCCCCGCCTCTGTCTGCAGGGGTCATTACAGTACAAATTCTACCAGTTGCTAATAGAAACTCATTAATTACATAATTATATCCAACCCATTTTGCTAGTGCTGCAGCTCAGGAGAAGAGTTTAAAGAAAATATTAATTTTAAATTATTAAACTGATTAAGTGCTTTAACTTTCTCATGTTTCATTATCAAACTTCATTTTAAATAAAGTAAAATATTAAATTATGTCCAACACAATAGGTTGCCATGTTTTCTTTATTTATGGCAGGGGGGAGGGACCTTTTTTGGGTCAGCAATCACTGACCCACAGAAAAATCAGTTAGAGACCATACAAGTGAAAAGCAAAACAAAAACACCACATCCCTTCAAAAAAAAACCCTCACCCTCCCTGATGTGTTCCCCATCTGAGAAAACTCACTCCTCTGGTGCTCCAGCCCCATAGAGCAAGGGGGGGGAAGACAGGATAGGACTGGAGCTCAGAGCTTCCCATAGGCCAGATTTACTCCTCTGGGGTTCCAGGGTTAGTGGATTTTGTGGATCCCCTCTAGGCTCTGGGGTTGGTACAAAAATGGGGGGTTCAGTATGCGGGACGGGGCTGCCAGTGAGAGGAATCGGGGTGTAGGAGGGGATCAGGATGCAAGGTCTAGGCAGAAGGTGGAGTACAAAGGGGCGGCGAAGATGCAAAGTCTGGATGGATGTAGGGTGCAGGAGTAGGTTGGGAGTAGGGTGTCTGGCCAGGGGGGTGGGTGCAGGAGCAGAATGGAGGCAGGGTGCCTGGCCAGGGGAAATGTGCAGAACTAGGCTGGGAGTAGGATGGTTAGCCAGGAGGAAGGTGCAGAAGCAAGGGAGAATGCAGGAGAGGGCTGGTGTAGGATGTCTGGCCACGGGAGGGTGCAGGAGCAGGCTGGGGGTAGAGTGCCTGGCTATTGGGTAGGGGGCAGGAGCCGACTGGGGATAGAATGTCTCGGTGGGTGTGTGTGCTTGAGGTGCTGAGGATGCAGGGTCTGGGTATGAGAGGGTGGGAGGGCACTTACTTGCCTTCACAATCTGCACCACTCCCGGGCATAGTCATTTATTACCAGAAGATTTACCCAACATTGCTTGGATTCTCAACTCAATTCTTGCTTTTTGTAAAATAAAATGAAAACGTACGTGCTTCATTTAAATTACAGGCAGTCCCCGGGTTACATACAAGATAGGGACTGTAGGTTTGTTCTTAAGTTGAATTTGTATGTAAATCGGAACTGGCATCCAGATTCAGCCGCTGCTGGAACTGACCAGCGGCTGACTACAGGAAGCCTGAGGCAGAGTTTCTCTGCCCCGGGCTTCCTGGAATCAGCCGCTGATCAGTTTTAACAGCAGCTGAATCTGGACGCCTGGGACAGAGCAACTGGGGCGCTGCCAGGTAGGTCCCTGCAGCGCCGCACCTCGGCGCTACTGGACCAACCCGGCAGCACCCCAGCTGCTCTGCCCCACGTCTGGCCGGTCCCGCCGCCCGCGTCCTCTGGGGCGAGAAAAGCCCCGTTCGTAAGTACGGATCCAACATAAGTTGGATCTGCGTAACCTGGGGACTGCCTGTATTGCTCTGGGATGGTGCTGGAGATGAGGGGTTCAGTATGCAGGCTGTCTCCGGGCAAGAGGACTAGCCCAGCCCTCTCTTATTGCAGCAGCCTGGGGCCAAGTGAGAAGTACCTCTACATGACTGCTTTAGCTCCAGCCCCACAGCTGGGCAAGGGGATCATGTCCCCCAGCTGGGACAGGTCCAGATTTGCCTGCCACCTGTACTCAAACAGATTTGCCTGCCACCTGTACTCTCCTTGTTTCCTGACAAAGGGAAACAGCCAGCATTGTTTTATATAAATGGGGCAGAGAGGAACTTCAGCCCCCTTGCCCTTCTTAAAGTAGAGATGTAAGTAACTAGTCGACTATCCCATAAGCTTAAGCTTATTGGGTAGTTGAGTCATTAGTTGGCTAGTCACTCTCTTCCTCCCCCCCACTGCCCCTGTATCAGAGACAGCAAGGGGGAGAGCAGGAGCCAGTGAGGGGGGGGGAGCCAGCTTAAAAAGCTAGTTCCCCCCTTAGCACTGGCTCTGCGGGGGGAGGGCAGGGGAGGCAGAGGCACAGTGGTGAAACAACACTAGTGGGGACTGTGCCTCTGTCTTTCAAATGTAGCAAGAGGTGTGGGCAGCTCTTACTGCAATTAAAGGCCAAGTAGTGAGTGCCCCCACACCCTCTTATCCGTGAATCAATGGAAATTTCATCAACTACTCAATTAGCTGATTAATCAAAATTTAACATCCCTACCTTAAAGGGCACCTGCTGGTGGGAGCATGAGCGCTGAGACACTTGGGGGAGAGGGGCAGTGGCCCTAGCCAGTCCCTTTCACTTGCTTGGTGATTCTGTCTCTTTTCCTTATAGTTTTAAAGCTTCAGAGGGCTAGCCAAGTTAGTCTGCAACACGAAAAACTTTTAAAAAAACAACTAATAGTCTAGTAGCACCTTAAAGATTAACAAAACATGTAGATGGTATCATGAGCTTTACTGGGGAAACCCCACTTCAGATGACAGATCATCTGAAGAAGTGGGTTTTGCCCACAAAAGCTCATGACACCATCTACACGTTTTGTTAGTCTTTAAGGTGCTACTAGACTATTAGTTGTTTTAAGTTACTATAAGAGGAAGCAAAAGACAGGACTAGGTAGCACTTTAAAGACTAACAAGATGGTTTATTAGATGATGAGCTTTTGTGGGCCAGACCCACTTCCTAAGAGGAAGCTGCATGGGGTGGTCCTAGTTCTTACCGTTTAGGAGGAGCACTTCAACAGACAGGGACACGCACATAAAATAGGGTGGATTCAACAGGAAATGGCAGCAAGGCTCCGGGATTGTTGCGAACCGCCCCCGTGGAAACATGCGCGCCAGGGTTAGCTGGTGCCCAAGGCAGGGCCGGGAGCTACGTCAGCCCGCGCTTTGAGACACACACACACACACTGCCCCCAGCCAGCCCCGCAGGCAGGAAACCTACAGCCCCTCCCCCATGAGCCTTCAGCACCACAGGGCACCCCCGCCCAGAGGGCCCTGTTCCCGCCACTCGCTCTCCAGCTCCCAGCCCAACTGTTCCGGCGGAGGGGCGGGGCCAGCAGGTAACAGACCCGGCCCTCTTTTCGCAGCCTATCCCGAGCTGAGAATAACGGCCGAGCGGGCGCGCGCCAAGGTGCCATTGGGCGCTAGCGGCGGGGCGGGCTCTGCTCGGCTCCCCTCACGGGGATGGAGAGGGGGTTGGGCGCTTCCGCCGGGTCCTCCGGCTTCCTCCCTCCGCCGCCTGGCCCGGCCCGCGTGGCTCCCTCAGCCCCTGTGGCCTCGAGGGTGGCCGCCCGAGGAGCTCCGCGGGGTTTGTGCGGGGGCTCGCCGCCCTGCAGCCCGGGCTGACCGTACTGCGGGCTAACGGCTGCTCTCTCTGCCGCCCCGATGGAGCCCGCTGGGCGCCGCAAGGGGAAGAGCGCAGGGGACAGCGGGTCTGGCGGCCCCCCCGCCAAGTATCGCAAATGCTCCACAGCAGGGCCGCCATGTCCGTCCTCCCGCCCCGCGCCCTCGGGAGAGGCCCGGAGCGCGGGGAAGCCAGCGGCGTGTGGAGGGGCGCGGAGCCGGCTTTCCCCACAGCCCGCTTGCCAAGGGACATCCAGGGCCACGCTCTCTGCAGGAGGCTCCTCCCCAGATTCAGCAGACGCTGCGGCCGGGAGCAGCAGCAGCCTGGTGGCAGGCAGGGGTCGGGGCTTTCCCCTTCCCAGACGGAGAATCCTGCTCAGGAAACATCTTGGCTGGGAAAGTTCCGAGGCAGACATGGTCTCCCTGCCCCGGGAATCCTTGAAGCGGGAGGTATGTAGGGCAAAGGCTGCAAACTAGAGGCAGAAGTTGACCAAAAACGTGCAGGACTTGGTAAAGCCTTGAGTGCTCCGATACTAGAGGAAGTGTGAGTTTGCCCCCCTTTGTGCACCTACGTACCCGAGGGGACCTTTTCCTATTGCGAACTTAAACAAAATTACAGGTGCACGTTTCCTATTGAGAGGAAGCTAGGTTTATGTATTTCAGGAGTTGAATATAACAGCGCCCCACCAGCGTTTTAACGTGATTTACCACTACAGCTGCTATTTAGAAACACTGGTTGGGGAAGGGCTTGGCATCACTCCACAAGAGTTTTCACTTGTCCTGTAATACATAATGGTTACAACACTTTTGCTGGCATACAAGGATATGTCGTTTTAATTAGGGTTACACTTTTTTTTGAAAGTTCAAATATGGTATCAATATCTACTACCACACATTAATACAACATGAGTTGGTATAATACTGATACAGATACACTCCCTTTCAGGAGTGTTCTCTTGTATCTACTACCTCACATTAATACAACATGAGTTGGTATATACGGATACAGATACACTCCCTTTCAGGAGTGTTCTCTTTTTTGGACGTTCAAATGTGGTAACCCTAGTTTTAATGTAGTGCTTAGAAGCAAAGGTCATCCGTAGAGTGAAAGTTAAAGGTTCATCCCACTTTTTTTGGCCTCTTGTCCAAAGCTCTAGTAAAGAGGGTGTTTGTGTTTGTTTTTAAGGTAATCTGCAAAGGGAGCAAATAGGTTTGTGCTCTCCTTTATTCTTGGTGTCTAAAAAAGATCTGAAAAGTTGGTTTGTTTTGGCAGGATAGGGGGGAGAGATTTTTAGCAAATAATACCTTGCAAATATCAGGATATAGTAAGTGCCATACAAAAGCTAGTTTAATATTGTATCCTTTCTCCAACTATGGTCAATATTAGATGCACAAAGAAAAGTGCAAGAAAGGTTTAATACTGGAATACCTTGCCCATCAATGAAGTTTTTAGTTTAACCCATTAGTCTATTTGTACCTTGAAGCATGAAGATCTTCTATCCATGTTTGTTTTTTCTTTAATGTAGCTACACGTTTTGATTGTCCATATTGATATCTAATCCTTGATCCTACTGAATTCTTGGCCTCAGTGATATCTTGTTGCAGTGAGTTACATTATTTAAAAGTGCATGTACAGTAGGCATAAAGTTTTATTTTTAAGGTAAACTTATTTTCACTGTCCATGTTCCCTTGTATTGTAAAATGGATTAATCAGACTGCCTAAATTATTTTCCCTGTTTTTTATGGATTTTGTACAACTTTAGAATTTTTTCTAATAGTTTAATTTAGAACTGTCAACTTTTCAATTTGTCCCTTGGGAATTCTTTATGCCACCTTGTCTCTCACAGCAAAGGGGAAATCTCTAGAAAAGTACATTAGGCACTTTCTTGAGGTTTAATTGAGGAATTAGGGTGTCCAATCTTCAACTAACAGCTCTCTTTTCTATCTGTTAAGCCTTTAGATTCAGTGTAGGTGTTAACAAAGCCAAACAAAATCCTAGAGTTTTAAATGGCCTAAATAAAAATCACTTTGGTTCTCTATCAGTTTTCACTTTATATCTTTAATGTTATAACCCAATTAATTATTTTGTTCTCTGTAGAGAATTTCAGGGAAAATGAGACACACAATCTGAATTTCAAAATCAGAAAAACTCATCTGTGAAAAATCTTTTAGACCTTCATTTGACCTCAAGAAGCGAAAATCTACCATTTATTTTTAATATATTTTGATTCATGTTTACAGAGACTGGCTTCTGAAGTGTAACAAACTGTGTTTGTTTTTATATTAGCAAAGTTTAGGCCAAAGATAATCTAACTGTGCAAATAAAAATAAAATTTAGGTTGCAAAATGCTTGATTCCCTTTTAATAGGCAAAGACTTTTGAGGCTTGCTTTGAGTGGGGAGAGCATAGTTCCTGGTTGTAATATGGCAAGCTGTCCTAAACAGTATCCTGATATGGCCTCTCTTGTGCTGGCTAGTCTAAAGACACCTGTGGCACAACAGTTGAAACAGGCCACACTGTAGTTCTCTTGAACAATGAAAAGAACATAGCAGCAGCCATCAGTGGTGAGAAATGATCCCATTGCATGTTGTCCAAATCTTCTCCAAATGTGTCTGGGGTGACAGCTTGCGAACCCAAGGATGGCAATCACTTTGCAGAAAATGAGGCAGATTCTTTCCACTCTTTTCATAAGAGGTGTGGCCATCTTCCCACACATGGTGAAACTTCATAATTCTTTGAAGTCTTTGATGATGGTGTTGTAAAACTCTTTAGGCTGAAAATCTGTCTTCTCTGCTTCAGAGGAATTTTTACCCTTCTATGTCCCCCACCTCTCACCAAAGCATTACATGACTTTTGTTTGTTAACATGTTCAATACTTATGAGCACCTACATAATGCTGTTTCCTTTTTTTTTATATAGCTCTATACATCAAAGGATGGTGCAAGCTGTAACCTCACACCAAGGACTGAAGGTAAAGGTGCCTCAGAAGAACAGACTGTAGGCCGTAGGAAGAAGATAATGAAGAATCAGGGATCCACAGTAATATACCTTAAAGCTCTCAAGGATGCATTTGGGAGCTCATTAGGTAAAAAGCTCAGAAGGGAGGCATCTACATCAAATGGAGATCAAGATCAAAGCCCCCTACATAATAAAGAGTCTTGCAAATCAGATGTCACCTCAAGAAGGATCTGTGCAATTTCAAGGCGTGAAGATAATCTGCAACTTCAGCTAAACTCAAACAGACAAACATCAGTAGATGAAAACACTGCTAGTGCCAGTTCAGTTAGCACTGGACAAAGTAATTCCAAAGAACAACATGTTGGCTACCAGAGGCCAGATATTTCAGGACCCTCTCCAAAGCTTGTATTTGTGGATGAACACAATTCGAGTTCAGAAGAAGATTACGAAGTAAGTGTGTGTGAAGCCATGAAGTAGTGTTCCTTGTATAGGGTACATTACTACTTAATTGGAATTTTACTTTACTTTAAATGAACAAACCAAAGTTCTTTGTGTTTCTGATCAAATTGGAAACATTCAAAACACAAATCACAGTCTAGTAAGTGCCTAGTACTGGGGGAAAATCTCTCAGATTTCTCCACTAGATGTTGTCACTTGAGAAATACTCAATTACAGTCACCCCCCACTTCCCCTATAAAAAAAATGCATTTAGGAACACTAAATAATAGCTGCTAATTTTTAAGGATTCATTTTTAATGTGTAGAATATATCATTGCCAATTGTACAAGGTCTTAATGTGAAGCATTTTAATTAGGGATGTGAAAGGTTAACCGGTAAACCTTAACAGGTGAGGCTTTCCCATTCTGTTTAACCAATGGGGGCTGGAATAGCTCCCCGTCCACTATGGGCAGGGCGCTGCTTCAGTCCCATGGGGCCTGCTGCAGACAGGGCCTTTTTTTTTCTTCACTCTGTTCATCTGAAGAAGTGGATTTTGCCACGAAAGCTCATGATATTATATATGTATTTTTGTTAGTCTCTAATGTGCTACAGGACTATTCATTGTTTTTAAAGTTACTAACACAGTTCTCTTCCTTTTATAGGATGAGATTACCTCTGAAAGTGTAAATTCTTTTGTAGCTACAGATGAATATTGTTGCCCTTATCTTTGTGTTTAGTCCTGTAGAATAAGAGCTAATTAATTTACATAGAGAAGTAATACATTAGCTGTAACAGTAAAAGTTCTTAATCTATTGACCCTTATTTGTAGATTAATTCAGAGGCTATGGCTGAAAATCTTTCCTGGAATTTGTATGCACTACTGTACCTCTTCCCTTCAAAAATATTTAAGGATTTAATTAAAATGTGTGTTCCTGTATAGGATTATTCCAGTATAAAACAGATTTAGCCTCCTTTCTTTTGTTCTATAGGGTGCATACAGAATACTTGTACATGCCTGTTGAGTGCTATATGAGGTGGATCTCTGCAGAAATCAGAAGAATAAGATTTTTAAATTATTTTTCTGACTGAGAAATCAGCATTGCCTAGTGGATAGAACAGTTGACTCTGACTCAGAAGACTCGATTCTATTATCAGTTGGCTAGTGCCAGATTTGAGTGATTTCTAACCAATCACTTTACATCTCTGAGCCACCATTTCCTCATCTGTAAAATGGGGATAATACTTGCCTCCTTGGTATAAAGTGTTTTGAGATCTATTGATAAAGAGCACTATATAAGATCAAACTTGTTTTTTTTCTATTTTGACTACAGTATATTAGAATGAAATATTGTTTCTTGTAACTTTGGAACTCTTAACATACATTTTTTGTAATGGAGAGAGACATTTGGAATCCCCTTTCCTGTCAGAACCTGGGTGGTTACCCTTCTAAGGAGCTTTGAAGCTCACTCTCTGTCCCAGGAATTTGAGGGGATGGTGGGTTTTGGGTCCAAGGTGACTTCTGTGGAGGTGCTAAATGCTTGGGATGTTAACCAGTTAACCAGTAAGCATGAGGCTTACTGGTTAACTGGTTCTTGCTAGTTAATTCTGGTGGCAGCAGCCATGCAGGGGCAGGATGGGTGGTGAGAGTTAGGATATAACAGTTAACCAGTTTGCTTTTCTAGGGATGTTAAAACAGCTATCTGTGCATAAATACTGTATTATTAGTAAGGAAGTGGAGGCCTTCCTAAATGAAGCCCTTGCCAGGTGTGCTGGGACTTGGGTCTTCTGTTACCAGCCAGTGGTGGGCAACTGCCAGGGCTCCATTTTGGGAGAGCGGGAGTGGAGGGGGACACCTGCAATCCTTATTACCTCTCAGCCCTGGGTGTCAACTTCCCCATGCGCACCAGCATGTGGTTAGTCATGCCTCTATCTGGGCTAGGGGTTTCCCCAAGCATCTCCCTCAGACTAACTGCCCACAGATCCCTGGAAATGTATGGTCTGGTCAAAAGCCCCTCTAGTGGTCAAGTCATGGCCTGCAGTCTGCCTGTTAACTACTCCTGCAATAGGCCCGGTGTATATTACACAGCATTGTTTGTGTTAGTTGAACAGGGGCATTTGCGTTGTGAAAACATTTTCTCTGAAGTCTGGACCTATTGGAAAGGCATTTGTTTCGTACAGCTAAATAAATACACTTTTCTTTGTGGTTACCATACAATTTTGTATTACAATCCGATTCCCCTTCCAGTATTTCCTCCTTTAAAAGGAAACCAAATCATAGGTATTAGAGAGAGAGAGAGAGAGAGAGAGAGGTGATCTGTTTAATCAGGGGTTGGCAACCTATAGCTCCAGAGCTACATGCAGGTCTTTGGCTGTCCGTCCGTCCG